GTTCTAAGTTTTACTTTCCACACAAAGCAGCCCGAGGGCTTTGCATTAATGAGTACAGCCAGCTCTGAACTGGCAAAGTTCAGGCTGTTCTTTGTGCAAACTCCATCGAATATTTTAATCTCCATTTGCTTCTGAAAGAATAGTTGGCCCACAATATTGAGGCTTATTTCCACTCTTACAGTGATTGATAAATCCTCTGCCTCTTGGAAGTGGTACTGAACATTGTCTCACAATGCCTCTGTGAAGTAGGGAAGTATTGCAAATGCTGGCTCAGGTGGTCTGGATGCATAGTTTGTTCACAGGAAATACAATTTCCATCTGAAAACAAAACATTTGTGAATTCATCTTGAATTCAGTTCATAATTTTGGCCAATAGTAACTGTAAGAAATAAATTATTTGGACTTTTTAAAAAGCGAAGTTACATCTTTCTGTTTAAAAACATTCAAAACAAACATTCCAGCAAATACTAATGTGTAGATACTTACTTTTACCAGTTAAAATCTGCTCACTGTAGAATGAAATCTGTTATTTCAAGTAAAATAAAAGCAGAATGTTATTCTACTAGTAATGGTTCTCGTGTTCATTATGCACCGTAGCCTGGAATGTTATGTATATGCTCACGTAAGCCTACTTTTTACTTACTTTTTTTTTTTAACTGTAATGTCTATTTTAATGTAAAAAATACTTATGCAGCCTGCATTAGTATTTCTGTTTTATTAATGGAAAAACTGAGAAACCAATTTTATGTGTTGTGTCCAAAACCAGTCTGTGATGGACGTGGGTAACAAAGCTTGGACTTTTCAGACATTTTTTTCTCTGAGGCTCTTGTGGTCTAGTCAGTAAAGTGAAACTTTCCTTTCTCTTTAATCCATTTTCCTTAAACTTTGTATACCAATCATAACTTACTGAAAAATTCCTTTAATATACCGTGAGCTGATGTGTACTTAGTGTGTGGAACATGGTGAGTGTGGATGCAGGAGGGTGAGGTCTCACGGTATAGGATCAGGAGTCTTGCCAAAGGCATGCCTGAGGTCGGGTTTTTGTGTTCCCTGCAGCGCCCGTACTCTGTGGGGGAGGTTTGAAGTTAACCCTGGCTTTCTCTGGTTGTAACTCACATTATAAGTGTTCTCATTCACACGTGGAAGTTGGCTTTCCTCTAACTGCTCCTGTAATGGGTATTTTGGTGTAAATTGATAAACAACCATACTAACGGCACTTGCTAGAATTGTCATGGTACTTTTAACACATGATTTCTGAAGACAGAAAGTATTTCATAGGATTGCCAGAGCCTTCTCACCTATTATCAGTCTTTGACAGTGCCCAGTAGAAGATATTTATAGAAAGAAATTCCCTAAATGTGTGGTAATCTTTCTCACATAACTTTCTGTTTTCCAGTGATAAGCCCCAGATTCAGATCACAGAGTAGCCATTATCCATAATAGGCGTAGTTACCAGAAGGAATTTGTTTAATCCTGTTTTGAAGTTATTAATAGTTTTTTGACCCACAGTGTCCTATAGCACTAGGTTCCACATTTCAAGGCATTTCTTGAAAAAGTATTTATTCTGTTAACTTCAAAGTTGGTTCCTTATCATTTTATTAAGAGTCAGTTTGTTCCTGTGTTTGTTCCCCCCTTGTCTTCTCCATACCATTCGTGGAGACCTCTATCATAACTTCCCTTATTTGTGTTTAGATAGTCTAGATACTGTGTCCTTGCAGAGAAGTTTTCTTTGTCTTTTTATTTTCTGAGTCTCCTCTGCTCTACTCTTAAACCATGCTAACTTTTTTTGGAGGGAAGGGTTAGAGGTCTGTAGTAGTTTTTGCTTACTCTGAACGCTTAGCCTGCAGGCTGTTTAAAATAATGTATTATTTCCTTGAAAGGATCTTACTCTTTTGGTTGCTCTGTAGTTTCCTCTTAGTAAGAGTATTTTATATTAAATTTTTGTTTCTTAAACCATATCAATATACTGACTGTATAACTATTTTAATCATCTATATTCTCACATCCAATTGTGTAACAGCTCTGCGGCAAACATATTATTCATGAATATTTTAAAGCACTGTATTTGTTTTTGAACAGTATGTAGCCTCTGGGAATAATGATGGAGCCAGCCCTACATGGCTTGTCAGCCCTATGGGGATCTTCTGGTATTTCTGTCTAGACTGATAATTTATGGACCCCACACTGAGAAATGCTAATGTAACATACATAGGATTTTAAGCTCCACAGTCTTACTGTCTTTTAAGAAATATATTTTATCCTGTTGTCTTAGGTACAGCGTGGAATAACTAAAGAAACCTTTATTCTTTCACTTCAGAGCCATCTCTTTGTTCTACAAAAATTAATACAAATCTTGATCTCTGAAGTTCCTCACCATTAGTTACCCAAAGCTAGTATTTCCTCTAGTTGTAGGATACATTGCAGATGCAATGCTAAGTATCTCACAAAATAAATTCAGCTGCTAAAACCCATTGAAGCGAATAGAGAAACTGAATTCCCAGCCTTCACAAGAGATCTTCCTTTGTGGCAAAGGAATTGTTTTTTGGCAGAGAGATTTGTTTATTGCAGTGGGACTTGCACAATAACACTACATCTAGGCTGATGCAGCCAGGGAACATTCCTAGACACTGGCACTCTATCCTCTGTGCTGTTGAATACTTAGTATACATTGCGCAGCCCTGGCTTGTGCCAGTTAACACTCTCCCAAACAGTTCCCAAGCGTGGTTCAAGAGTTTAGCGCGGTCAAGGGCCTGTTCCCAATAGGCACTTTGGCAAAAGCCACCCAGCATGGAAAGATGAAGTAGTATGGCTGCAAACTCTCCTCTGACAGCTGGCCTCAGTTTTAAAAAGGGCGGTCTGGGCGTATCTGATTTAGTGCTGTGTGTGTAGCTCTATGGTAGGAGAGCTCGGAAAGCGGCAGGCACGGCGTTCTCATTCTGCTGCTGCAGTTGATCACTGTAGCTGAGTGTTGGATTAGAGCTACTAGTTTTGCTATGAGACAGCTCATTTCAGAAGTCTCAGACAGAACTGGAGGACTTAAGGACTGTCACTAATTTCCAGGCACATCTGATGCTGTTACTGGACCATCAGCTGAACACACAGATAGCAGGCTCGGTACTCGCCTCCTGAGCCTGTTCTGCTCCAGTGGATCCATAGGTGTATAGGAAACTAAAGTTACTGCTACTTATGTACTGTAAGAAGCTAGGTGGCATGCTCTGCATGTATAGGCTATTTTTACAGAGTATACAATAAATACGATGCATCCCTTCTTCACAGTCCTCACGTGTATGCTGTGCACCAATTTTCTCATATTTCTGTTCAGATAGGCTTGTGAATGTTTATGCTGGCTCATAAAAAACAAATTCCTCTGGAACTTGTTTGCATTGTTCCTCACTGTAGTTTTTTTCTTTAGCTGTTGCATTTTTAGGCCTCAAGAATTCATATTTTTTGTCATTGTCTGTATAATTGTTGTACAATGTGCACAGTTAAGGTCCCCAAACTAATCCCTTGCTAGGAAGGTGTTCTCAGTCAATGAGGTTGATTTTTTTTTCTTTCAGAAATTTGTTCGGGACCTGTGCATTTGTTTGTGCAGTTTGTGTGACAAAGTGAATTAAAGAGAACAGATGACAATTTCCTTTGCCAACTAGCTGGCTTGAAACCTTGAAACACAGAAACCGTTTTTATGGACACAAATTTCAGCCACAAAAATAGAGGCAAAACTTTTTGTTGATCTTTCCGCTTTGAATCTCATTCTGCCATTATTTTCTGCAGATTTTTAGATTCTTTCTGAGATACTAACTTTTGTAGCTCAATACAGTCAAAACCATTAATAAGGAAAATACCTGGAAAAACATTATTTTATTTGCTTACCATCATCCTCTTCTATGGGTTTCATTTTGAGATAAAATTTGATTAACATGTTACCACAGAGCTTGCAAAATTCTATGAATACTCTGATGTAAAGAAAAAATTAGTATCTGAGATACCCAGAAACCTCTTGGATGTTGCATGCAGGCTTAGAGACCATAACGCCCTGGAGAAGTATCTGGGATATATGAGAGTGGCCTGTTCGTTGAAGCTAAGTTTCCCATTTCAAAACACATACAAACTAAACTACATTTTAGAATATCCATCCTGCAGATGTTGGGTACTTCTCAAACACGAAAGCATCTAGAAACAAGCAATTATTGAACTGGTATTTGCCTCTGACTAGAATGTAGCCATAACCTGAAAAACGACACTGAAAAGCAGCACCCTCTTCCTGATTTGTGCCTGCCCCCTTGTGTAGATGCTCAATAGGAGTCTGATACTTGTATTCCTAAAATGGCAGAGCTTGCCAGTGTATTGAGAGCAAGAATGCTCCCATGCTTTTAAGTCCCAGTGTATGCTATGGCTGTAGGGGAAAATGTATATGAAATTTTTTTCTAGTAACAAAGCGTTTGTGGTAGCATAGCTCAGTGATACTAATTTAGTATGTTTGACATAACCAGTCATCCGTGGGTTTTTTAGTTGTGATTAACACAAACATTCTAGACTCATCCAGGAAATACCTTTGTACTTTTCATACCACTGTGTAATCTTTGTCATTGCCAAATTTACTGCATTTTCTGTAAACAAATCCAGGGTGACGTGGATAGTGATGTCCGTAATTAAAGCTGAGTAAGAGTCAGAAAGGAGGAAAATGGCCTAAACTTGCTGTCACTGAAATAATGACAAAAATTCTTAACTTTAGCTCATAGCAGGGTTGGGAGGAAAGGTTAATTTGTCAGAGGTTATCTTGAGCAGGCAGTACTCGGAGTGCACCAAGTGCGCTGTTGTGGTATTTCTCCGCTGTTTTGCCATACCTGTCAAATCAAATCCCTTGGTAATAGTGTCCCCGTTTTTCCTTAAGACACCTGTTCTTAAATGACAAGCCAAGCAAAGATTTTAGAAATATTGTAGTTTTCACTGAGGTAAAAGAAGAATATGTAAACACAAATAAAAAATATCTCAGTCCACATTTGCCAAATTACTTTATTTATATTATGTCTACAGATGAAACTTGGTGCCAGAAAAGAGACACTGTATCAGACATTATTACTTGTACTCGAGCTGCCAAGGAAAAATTTTCTCAGTAACCTTTAATAACATTTGGACCAAAAATACATGGATGTACAGCTTCCAGCATTTTGTGGGATGTAGAGTGCAGCTTCTCTCACAGGTCCTCTGTTTCTGGAACGGTGTTGGAATCTGAAGGCTGAATGAACACTACAGGAATATTCTCAGATGTCCATCCTTTAGGAGTCCTATTGAAGGATCTTCTGGTGGCAAGAGGGTTTGCAAGAATCATGAATCTGGGATCATTTAGCATCAGTAGATTAAAATCAGGTACCTTGAATTTGACCAGCTTTGATGCTCTCTCAAAACCACCAAAGGGAGTGGCAACTCTGTAGATGTTAGAGAAAAAAAAGTAAAACATGATTTTAAAAATACCTCTTTTCCTCTCAGGAGCTGAAAAGAAGAGAAGCTATTTTGATGATACAGATTTGGTACAATTTCTTGTTTAGATTTGCAAGCTTTTGGGAAAAGTATACTGATCTTTATTCTGGCAAATACTCTTTTTGTTTTTCCTTAGTAAAGCCTTCAGCCTTCTTCAAAATTCAAATGGACAGAACAGCCAACAGAAAACGATGTTGCAAGAAAAACCTTGTAGTTGGTGAATCACAGTCACTAAGCTTATTTTGTTGGTGATAAGTTGATAAGTCTGAAAACGTAGTTTAGCACATTCTCTCTGGGAGGTAATTGGTTTAGGAAGTTCTCACCCCATTTTCTCCTATCCCCAGTTGCTTGTTCCACCCACTACACTGTATTTCAGCACCATATTGTACCAGTTAGAAAGTATGTGGGTTGTGCTGTAAGTTCTGGTCACGTATGAGATCTGGGTTAAACAAAGGCCCTTCATAACAAAGGAGCATTTTAAAATCCAAATTATTTCAACAATCTGGTTTATATAATTATGCTCAAACAATTGTGGCAATACGAGTGAGGAGGCAGTAAGGCGTAATGTGAAGCAGAAAGGAACAGCCAAAGACAACAGGCTCTGGAAAGGAGAGGAATGGGTGAGGACTCCTTACACCATCTTTGTTTCTGAACAAAATGTTTGTGTAACTAAACCTTGAAACACTGGCTGAAATTGGCCCCTAGTCTGTGGCCAGTATTTTTCATGTTATTTAAATGTAAACGTTCCCTCAGGCAATAAGCCTTAGAAACTAAAAGATAAGAAATACTAAGCAGGAACTGAGTGTTACGTGCATTTGCAAACAACGGTATTTCCAGATACCTCCCATGATTCTATATTTGCAAGTTTCTAGGCTGGAAAGAAAAAAAAAAAACCAACCCTGTTTATTTTGTAAAAAAAAAAAAAAAAAAACCCTGTTTATTTTGACACTTTTTCCAGACTCCTTTGTATAAGCAAAGGTGACCAAACAGACCATTAGATGTGCTCTGCATTTTGATCAGCTGCATCACTTTGCTGGGATGGGTTCTGGCCAGCTAAGAGTGTCAAATTTCTGAGCTACACGTGAACACCTGATTCCTGCAAAGCTACGTACATAGTGGCATGCAAAAATGGGTTTTTGTTGAAACGGGATTTCACCAGCCTTGGTGGGTTTTGTGTGTTTGATACAAACCAACAGATCTGCTGGTATGTATTTCCATCTGCTCCAGGTGTTATAGCGGGAGCCCAGAGAAATCGATACCAACAGAAACAAAAAGAGATCATTGGAAGATCTGACTAGAACTTTCAGCAAGATAACAATAGATAAAACAAAACCTAGGGAGAAAGAAGTGCACAAAAATTAAAATATTGTTTCAGCAAAATGAATCTGTGACCTAAAAGAAATGGTACTGCTCTGTCATTACACAGATAATTCACTGCATTTTGGTACGAGCAGCATTTGTCGAAGGGGATGGTGTTAACTCCAAAGGGTCAATCCTGTAAGATATAAAAAAAAAATCATGAAAGTTCTGGGCATGCACACATACTGAGAGAAGAGTGCTGCTTTAACTGTTTCTCAAATCAAGATAAGATTTTGCAGCAGCAGCCAGTCCAGGCATTAAACTCTCTTGAGGTCAAAGGAAATTCTTTGTACAAAGTGCCCGTGGTATCGAGCTTTTCTTGTGAAACTGTCTTCTAGGTCACAGTGTCAAATTGGATACCATATAATACTAATTAAAAATAATTGCTTGGTAATTGGCACAGAGTGAATGTAGTGATCTACATCTTACAGGATAATAAAGATTGTTTTAATTGCTGCTCTAATTAAGATACACATTCTCACATTGTTGTGATATTTAATTCTCCTCAATATATAAATTAAAAGGATAATCAATATGAACAGAACAATAATATCTGTATAAAACGCAAAACTATTCTATAGTGTAAAACTTCCTCTTTGTATTATTTTTTGTTTTTAAATACAGCATGTTTCTATAGGTAACAGAAACAGGAGGGCATTCTATAGAAATTCAAATATCTTTTGTGGGAAAAAAACCCCATGTAGTTCCTATACAAAGTCTGGCCTCAGAGAATTATGCATTCCTGTGTGCTAGGCAGAAGCACACGATGATTGACAGAAAGGAGAGTACAGTAATTGGGTAATAGATTTACAGCAGCAGTATATTTTCGTGAGCAATAACTTGTCTGACAACATGGTGTTGTAATGTCCTGTGTTGTGTGCACATCAACTGTATCACTTGAGCTCTGATTCATTGTATTGAAGTCTAACGCTCATGTGTAAATAATTCCAGTAGTCATTGCTCGTAGTAAGGGCAGAAATGCTGGTTCAGAGCCACAGGCACCAGGAAGTGTAAGAGATTGTTTAATATTCACTTTGCATATTCCTAAAAAGTAGGTGCATGAGTTAACAATAGCAGGCACAACCACGTTTATTTTTAGCTGTTATTTTAGCCATGCTTCTGGGCTTTTTTCCGCAGTCTTTCTTATTGAACATTATATTGTCTCAACATAGCAGACTACTTGTAGTTTATTATTTAGGAAAGTATGAAGAAATGTTTTAACTGTATTGCATTAGCACCTTCAATTACATAATTTCAAAAAATATGAGTTTCACATTTTAAAATGAGACTGCCATTTTTAGAACATTTTGCTTATTGTGAATTCTGTGCAAAAAGGAGATGTAGAGCAGAGAATGTGACACTACAAAATGCTGGAGAGCTTAATGACGCAAGAACAAATTACAATTTCACAGATGTATTTAGGTGCTAAGGAACCAGCTAAGCACCCAGCTTCCACTAATTTCATAGCACTTCAAGTTAGGCACACAGAATTCCTTTGAGGTTCTGGATCTCAGCATTTTTACAATAGAGTTCAGAACCCATTAATCAATAAAAGCAGAGCTCAGTCCAGATGAATTGGATTCCTGTAGTGTTTTTGAAACAGTAGTCTTTGGGATCCGAGCAAGAATTTACCTGGTAGGAGAGGCAGAACAAGTCAGACTTGCTTGTCTTGTGTGAGCAAGATGTAGTGCTTTGTGTGTCACTCATAATCCTACCTTTGACAGTGTGTCCAGCTCCAAGAAAGCAGATGGAATAAAGGTACTAATTTACCTAATATATACAAACTTCTTAACAAATGTAGATTCATGCTGTCTTTCCCACAGATGATTACTAAGTGCTTCCACACTGGTAAAAGAGGCAAGAAAATTTTTCACCAGTAAACAGTTCTTAAATCCTAATAGGAATTAATCTCCAAGAGAAATGGGATGGCATGTAGCATTTCTCTGCTAGCACAGATTCGTCTTCATCCTCAAGGAGGAAGGGTAGCCTTGTCTGAACAGTGTTCAGAGATCCTCAGAACCCAATTTTTCTGATCATGCCCTCTGTCAAGTGCTATGTGCTGTTAGACCATTACTGGCCGTCTCACAGAAAGCCTGCCTCAGAAGGCAAAGGTGCTGGACTTTTGCTGCCACCAGTTCTTTCTTCATTAACCTGCCAGCATTGCAAGATCCCTGCAGCATAAAATGCCTACTAGACCCCAACTAATACCTCCATGAATTCCTTAGTCCTGATTTTGCTGCTGTTACAAAAACTGCACTGCTACATGGTCTAGAGTCACCTCTTCATTGCTAGCAGTGGAAAAAAAATCTGCATGCTGTTAGTGCTGAACATACTTTTAAACCAGGCATGTGTGCATCTGTTCCAACACATCAGACATCCCTAGCTGGTAAAGTTGTGTTGCTTTTACAATTTGTTGTGTAACAAGGAAGGCTGAAAGGAACCTTAATATGGCCTGTAAAGTCTGAGTGCCATTGTAACAGATACCACTGACTGAACTGGGAAGAACGTCAGGCCCGTTTCCTTTGGGAGTCCTGTGCATCACGCTTACTGTTAACCACACCCCTTCTGACTAATGATGACTGTACCAGTGTTTTGCAGGAGAACAAACATAATGGCACTTTGTTGAATAATGAAGTATGATAGAAAGCCTGAATTGATACCCTCACTGATAACAAAACGGTGTCATTATATCACACTTTAATTGTTTAATACACTATAATTTGCTTTCTCTCCAAGACTGCAATTAAATTATCAAGGATGCTGTGACCTAGATGCACAGAATGACTTAGCAGGGTCTAGATACAGAAGTCCAAAGAGATATCTCACATTATGCACAAAACCCACAGGCTGCTAAATTCCTGAGATGCCTAATGTTTTCCTTATACAAATGCTCAGATCTGCCTTTGTCTTCACTACACCAGCAGCTGCACTTGTCTTACACCAAAGCTCATCTGTGATTCTCTAATTAATAATCTCTTGCCTGAACTTCCACACTTGACAACACACATAATATGCTACTGTAGCGAGCTTTGAGCAAAATTGTGGCACTTTCACTCAAATCCAGAGCTGTTAGCATTGAAACTATGTGTCAAATAATAGTGTGTCTGTGACCAGAGCTGTTCTGCACGAGGTTTGGATTCTCTTCAGCCTGAGGACATCTATTTGTAGCAGTGCGCCTAACTCTTCACATATAGTATTCCACCAAAAATACTACCCAGAAATAAAAAATAACTTGATTAGACAGAGTAGGACTCTTAGCCTAGACATCAGGCTGTACAACTAATAGCAGAAAAGTATAGATCCTGTTTTCTGCTCCTAAATCAGTTTGTTTAATTTACTGTAGGCAACAATTAAAGAAAGTGCATTGAAAGATCTGGCAGCTCAGATGTAGGCACAGATTTGTCTTTCCTTAAGTGAGTTTCTTAACTGTTCAGCTAGAGAAAGGGCATGTTTACTCCCTCTAGCCCAAAGAGGTTTGTTATTTTCTGTACTATGGCACAGGTCTTAATAAGGGAAGTGAAGAGTGTCCCACCTCTTCCATGGAAGAGCTAGAAACAAGGTTGTTACACCTCTCCTCAGGGTTTGACATTCCTGTCACACATTCTGGCTGGCCACTTTCTATGAAAATGCTCTTTTCAAAGAAATGAACCTTACTCCTTCTTCCTAGAAAACACAAATCTAAGTGTTCAGTATTTAACAAACAGCTTTTCTAAGTCCACCAGGCATCCTTCTGTTTTCTTCTGGATGTGGATTTCTTCCATGAGAAGGAGAGTTGCATTGGATTGTATCTGTATGCATTGTGTTTTGAATTTACCAGTTTCACAGACTGGATCTGATTTATGTGCCAGGTTTTAGGTTTTTATGGCAGTTACAAGGGAGAATATTGACCTTTCCCTTATATGAATGCACATTTGTTCAAAAGATGCAGACTGTGGTGAGCCTCAGTTCTGACATGTCATACATAGAGAAAATTCCTCATAGAAAGAAATCTGAACAGTTAGTGTTGTAAAGGGGACAACTAACAGAACATAGGCCCACAGAGCAGCTAAAAATCCACAAAGAAGCCATCAGATACCATCTCAAGACACATCTCCCTGTTAATGGTGCCTCTGTGCTCTGTCTGATCCCATCTTTCACAGTAACAACTTGCGTGCTGGACTCAGAATCTGTCTTGTGAGAGGGAGAACTGTGTCTGTCTCTATTCCATGTATATGGATCTCTGGTCATATTTTTCTTTGGTTTTTGTTTTTGGTGGGGTTTTTTTCCGGTTGCAATAACCGTAGTAGATAAACCGTGCTGTTACTGTTCGAATGCTAGCAGCTGTGGCACATCTCTCTGACTTGTATGTGTTATTTTGTCCGCTGAGGAGAGCGCGCCACACAGGCTTAGTTATTAACATGGTGATGTATATTGCTGTTAGGAGATCTGAATTAGTGTGGTGTCTGTAGTGCCAGTTTTGATGTTAAATTGTGTAATTCTTTAGTCCTTGCACTCATAGTTGGGGCCCCCCTCAAGGGCAGGAACACAAGTGATGTTTGTGGTTTTTTCTCTAAGTTTATATTGCCATGAGCCATTTTCTTTTTCAGATTGCTCTGTCTGGCTTTTTGAGAAGGTTTTTCATTTGGCTCAGCTGTCTGGAACTCCACAGGGGTTATTTGGGGAAAAATTGTCTGTAACTTTGATAAATAAAGATAGGATGAATGGTATGAATGAAAGTAAAAGGCTTAAGTGAGCATGTGTTTTAAAACTTTCAAATTACTTCAAAACATTTGACTTCAAAGTAAAAACTTCTACAGAAGTAGAACTTCTACTGAAAGCCTCAATATACTCGTTACTATGCATATAACTTCACCCTCAGGTCCCATTCTACTTCAGGTGCTTTTTAAGTCTGCTTGTAATGTTTTATCTGTTGTTACCAAAGGCTGCCAAAAAATGTTAAATGCCATAAAATATGAAAGCTACTAACTATTTGGTGTGAGGGATTGGTTGAGGGATAAAGTTCATTATACTATGATTGCCTAAAAAACAAGCCAGGTGAGTTGTACTAAAAAAAAAAAAAAAAAAAAAAAAAAAGTGGTTTGTATTATACAGCTTACAAGCAAAGTTTTGACTGAGAGTTTCCCTGATAGGTCTTAGGGTTCCCTACCTACCAAAGTCAACAACAGAAATACTGAAAGAGTTTGAAGCATTGCTGTAGCACACGTCTACCACTTATTGAGTACACTGCATGCACTTGCTCTCTCTCTCTCTGTCTCTCTCGATATTTTCAACAATTCCTCCTACCTTCTTGGTTCTGGAATTTAGTTTTGGGTCCATACGTAAGAGAGAGGCTAGTTTCCTCCTTAAAGATCTTGTTTGCCGCTTGTAATCTGTGTTTATGCATATATTTTCAAACACAAGTGGTGGGGTTTTTAACAGCTGGTGAAAACATTTCATTTCATAGGAATTTTTCTCTGTGCTGTAAAATTCAGTGTCCATTCAGAATTACCTGTTAAAGCTTCTGTAGTCAGGCAGTTCCGGCTTTGCTTCAGGTTTAAAAAGTTTCGGATATAAAGCTTCCAGCAGCTCTGGATCATCCCTAATGGCTTCTATCCAGGGAGACTGATAATACTTCGGCACAGATGTAGTGTTGAACTTTTCAGGAGGAATTTCTTTCAGTGGTCCAGAATATCCTACAAGGTGATCAACACAAAACCATAATAATAATACTTTTCATTTTCTGCTTCCTGACCACCATCCTGTGCAACTAGGAAGTAATATACCATAATTTCACAGTTAGGTAAAAAGAACAATTGGATCAAGTCACCTGGCCAAAGCTACACAGAAACAGAAAGCTGGCAGATGGAATTTGTAGCCTTTTAAATAACTGCTCCAAAATATTCTAACCTCCTTGGAGGCTAAGTTTATTTTAGTTTTATATAAATTTGGTTTTATCATTATAAGCATTTGTTTGAAACCAGACTATATCTACACAGTCCTCGGGCTGAATTAACAAAGAGATTTGAAAAACAGCCTTTTGGTTAAAACTAAGACAATTTGATAGTCTTTGGGTTAAATTTTCCAAAATTATTAAAAGGAGTTAGGATCACGGGCATTATAAAGGAGTTATAAAATATTGCCTCTGCTTTAAATTGTCCTACCTACGTGTTTCTCTGGTCCTTTTCATCATCTAAAAAAGTGAAGAATCTGTTGTTTTCTCTGCATAATCATCTGAGGATCAGGCTCTGATCAGAATTTTATTAAATAAGCAAATTCCATATTCTGTGTAATTTCTTCTAAAGCCAAGTA